ATGATATAGGTATGTGACATAGTAGTATATATATATATATATATATATATACTACATATATATATATTACATATATATATATATATATATATATATATATATATATATATATATATATATATATATATATACATATATATATATATATATATATTACATATATATATATATATATATATATATATATATATATATATATATATATATATATATATATATTTAATTTATTTGTTTATTTTGAGTGTGTGTCTTATATAGTTGTAGGTCCCTTAGTTACAGGGTTAGTTTACCTGTATTTCTCTTTATATCTATATTTGTGTTCTGTCTAAACCTCTGACATGATTGAGTCACCAGTAAGTTGCTATTTGTATGTTTGTGTTCTGTCTGAACCTCTGAAACGGTGTTTACTCACCAATAAGTTACTTTAGATATGTTTGTGTCCTGTTTAAATTTTTGATGCAGTGTGAGCTCAGTAACTCAGTAGCTAAAATTTTCCTGCTTTGGGACTCTTGGTTGAATAAATGCTAGAGATAGTGTCTCAATAAAAATACTCATCTTGAGCAGATATTAACTGCATCTACTTACTGTCTTGTAGAAGGCCTCCTAGGCAAAGACTTTTAGAGTAAGCAGAATAATTCTGCTGACAAGCCTTGAACCCATTCTTTATCTATTAAGATGGCATAGATGTAAACCTGTGTTACATAGTTTCCTGCCTAGGATGATGAATGCTGGATCTTCTTGACTCTTGTCATAAGTTTTTGCTTGTGCATCCTTAATAGTTAAAACTTAGAAATTAACTAAACAGTGTACAACATGCAACAAACTCAAAACTCTTTCTACTAACATCCATAGTAACTTCTTTAAATATCCAGGAATTTTGTCAGTCCCCTGCAATCCACTACAGCGAACAAATATCATTTCGTGATAGCAATTACTCAAGAAGTCTATTTTTTTCAATGACTCAATATTACTACAGATACTGTTATACGCAGGCTTAGACAGGAATGGCATGCGATTGCACACTGACCGCACTGAAATTGACCACATTGAAAAAAAAAAATTTTTACTGACCACACTGAAAAAAAAAATTTTTACAATTTGACTACAACTGTTTTGATGTTTTAGCAATAAAAAAATTTGTTAAGCTACAAATCACTTTTATTCGTTGATCTTTTCTAAAAAAATTTTAATGCAAAGGCTTCGGATAAAATAAAAAGTTAATTATAATGATAGTTTAAAAACAACAAAAAAAGTTAAATTTAAATTTTTTTATATACGCATATGATTTTCAAAATAAATTTAAACATTTATAACTATTTTTCCATGTCTAAAAACCTTTTAAACTGGTTATTTTTTTAACTTACTTGAAATTATGAATAACTTGAATTAAATCTTCCCATTGCAATAAAATGATTTAATTGGTTTACTTTTATTTTTTTTAGTTCAATTTTTACAAAGAATTGTTTTTTAAACCTTTTTTTTAACTTCACTTTCTAATTAGATTGGTGTGATTAAAAATTATTATTTTAAAAAGACTACATTATTTTTTTAAACAATTTTAATTTGCAGTTTTTTGGAAAAAATAAATGTTTATGCTCCTAAATAAAATTTGCTTATTCATTAACAATTATAAGAAGTAATTTGAAAAAGCGTTTTACATAACTTTAATAAAAGGTTTCAAAAGATAAGTTTTAAAGTAAATTATTTAATTAAAATAATTAAAATAATTTCAAAAAGAAGACTATCAGTCTGTAACATGTTAAGGTGTTGCAAAAAAAAAAAAAAAAGGTTTAATTGTGAAAATTACTGTAGATTACTTTATTTTCATGTAAAACATGTTCCAAACCGAAAGAGGTCTTGAACCTTTTTCTTCAGAAATTGAAATAGTTATAAAACTGCTAAAATGGCTTATACTAACTAACTTAGGGTTATTCCACATAAAAAGATCCCAAAGGTACCACCTTGAATTTTCTTTGTTCTAGTTTATTCTAAGGGTTCTAATATGTTTTGGTGATTGCCCATATATACATAAAACACCTGCAAAAATGGATTTGGATTAGCTATTACTATACAAAATACCAAATGATCCCCCTTTCTCTACATTTTGTTCATTAGAGATTCAATTATAACTTTGAAATGAATAAGAAATTTAGTATGAAAATTTCAGGATTAAGTTTTTTTTATAAAATCTGTGGGTGGTTTGGATTTGAAGAAAATCTCTAGTGGAACACTGTGAAACTGTTAAAAAATAATGATTTTATGTGGAGTAACCTTTAAAGTATTTAAACATAAAAAAAACTTACAAATACAGTACAATCTTTCAATTAAATTAAAATCAATTAAACACCCTTATCTAAAAAAAGTTTCTGTAATTTAAAAATCTTTCAATTCAAACTTTCAATTTTTCCCATAAGATTAATATTGTATGTGTATAATATTTGTACTGTATAATATTTCAATTCGATGATTTTAAAAATTGTTTAAGGGGTTTTTGTTTAACTAAAACAACAATAATTACTTCTAAATATATAAATTAGTAGAAAATTACATAACATTTTTTTGTATTTAACACTGTGTTTTATTGATGAAAACTCATCAGAAATGCTACTCTGATGAGTCTTTATTGATGCAACACAGTATTAAATGGAAAATAAAAATTTAAGTGATTTTCTACTAATATATATATATATATATATATATATATATATATATATATATATATATATATATATATATATATATATATATATATATATATATATATATATATATATATATATATATATATATATATATATATATATATATATATATATATGTATATATATATATATATATATATATATATATATATATATATATATATATATATATATATATATATATATATATATATATATATATATATATATATATATATATATATATATATAAACAAACGTATAAATGATTGTACAAACAAGCAAACATACATACATACATACATACAAATATATATATATATATATATATATATATATATATATATATATATATATATATATATATATATATATATATATATACATATACATATATATATATATATATATATATATATATATATATATATATATATATATATATATATATATATATATATATATATATATATATATATATATATATATATATATATATATATATATATATATATATATATATATATATATATATATATATATATATATATATATATATATATATATATATATATATATATATATATATATATATATATATATATATATATATATATATATATATATATATATATATATATATATATATATATATATATATATATATATATATAAACAAAGTTATAAATGTTAATACAAACAAGCAAACATACAAGCATACATAAAAGCTTGTAGTGACTAAACTAGTTTCGAACCAGATAAATAAGATAAAATAATATATGAGTTATATTTATCTTTAACTATTAGTTAGGTTTAAATTAGGATTTAACACAAAAGTAGAAAGTTGTTAACAATCATTGTTTAGTTTCTTGGTATCAATGTAACTGTTTAATAAAATCAGAACAAAGTTTAGTTAAATTTGTCATTGATATTTTTATGTTTGGTGATCCAAAACAAAAAATAATTTGTTTATATTACTTTATTTTGCATGTAAGACATGAATTCATTTCTTGAATTGTTTCTGTAATAAAAAAAATCTTATTAAATTTGTAATAGCAAAAAATTTCAATATAAATTTAGTAAACAAATGGTAACTAGATCAGGATCATCTCTCAAATATAAAAAAAAAATTAGATTGTTTTGTTGGAGTTTTTAGTTACATTTTGAATTAGAAAATTTATATTAGCCACTAATTTTACAAAATGATTTAAACATGTTATAAAGATTACATATGACTTTTAAAAATAAAATAATAATTTAATTTATGCTCAGCCTTTAAAAACCTGTAAGATAATTATCAATGAGCTTTTATGATATATTAAGGTAATTCGGCATCGAAAAATATATATATTTGGCATAAATAATTAAAAAAAAAAAAAAAATTAAACAGCAAATTTAACTGTTTTTTTTTAATTTTTTTTTTTTTTATTTATTTTAAACAAACTCTACGTGGCTGAGATAACTTTTTCCTTAGATGCATTGCTCAATTGGAATTCCTTGATATTGATTGCTGAAATTCATGTTTTATCGTCGCGTCCATTTAATTTAATAACGTTTATTATCTATAGGTTTATATATTCTTTCTAACATCTATACAAAAATCTTTTCTCTATATATATTAAATTAAAAAGTCCCATGAGAATATACTGTTAATTACAGTTGAAATAACTTACGTAGATGCGTGACTTTCAACACGCATCTACGTGATTTCTAACTCGTACAATTCACCAATATAATAATAGAACATGCCCTCTTGGTGAATTAACTCATAAGTCTAATCTTTGTGGGGGCTTTACTGTTCGTCCGGAGCGTGTTACTTGCAGCACGTTGAGTTCTTGAAAATCATTTCGAACTTGAGCGACATCATCATTATAACTTCCTTTAACGTTATCAGTTTTATCGTTTACTCTATAAAAAACATCGTTGACTGATTCATTTGAACTCTGTACGTCTGTACGGCGACGCAGGTGTGAAATGTGACGCGGATATACCCGATTCGCACGTCAAACGACAAAGTATTTTGCTTTCGTACTACGCCTGGTATCCACGGCTGGTCACATTTTGTTTCTTGAGTTGGTTTTACGCAAACATTGTCACCCACTTTAATTTCTTGCTTACGCCTTTCTCGTCTACCTTCCTCCGAGTATCGACGCCTGGGATGAAACATGTCGATCTTTTCTTGAATTGCTTGGATGGACTTTCAGTACAATTGGATGATATTGTCTCGTTGTACAGCAAGACTGCCAGAGCAATTGAACAATGTGAGCGAGCGACCGTTCTTTTTATCGTTCTGTGTATACGTTCAACTATACCATTACCTTAAGCTCGATGTGCTGCTCGATATTCCAAATTAACATGCCATTCTTCAGCAAAACTTGTTAACGTGTTGGACCGAAATTCGTTGTCCATTAGAAGACATACTGGCGGACCAAATAAAGAGAATCTTTCTTCGAGTCTACCAACAACTTCAGCAGCTGCTTTATTTACAAGTTTACGCCATATTGTATACCGTGATGGACCACAGTCAATCATTGATAAGTACAGTTCAGCACCTACACGCGTCACGTCAATGGCAACCCGATTCCAATTTTTTTCTACGCTTAGTTGGCCATTCTTCCACTTTACGGAGTAAGGATCAATGGAGTTACACTGGTTACAATTCGCAATTACTGCTGAAACCTCCTTACGTGATACATTCTGATTATTTCGCAAGCAAAGTTGTAATGTTCGAGCAACACCAAAATGACCAATTGAATGAATTTTTCAAATGTCTTTTTGTTCAAGTAATCCAGCTGCACACACTGTTCTGCACCATTTTTGAGGAATTCGTGAGAGTCGATCAGCCAAATTTATCTCAGATGGAATCCATTGTACAGCGATCTGAATATCTTTTGACACTTCCTTAATAGTATTCAATCGTCTTTGTACTAACAATTGAGAAATTCCCCGAGTTTTTACGCGATATTCTTCCTTCAAAACTGCGTTTAACCATCCTACGGTGCTCTTGCTATCACTGTATACTGTTAACTCTTTTATGCTCCACTTACTAGCTAAGTTTAGTCCTCAAAGTATAGAATCCAGTTCACTTATATTGATATGGTGTGTGTCACTCGCCGGCCGTAGCCATGCTGCGTCTTCAACAACTACTCCACCAATAAGCAGAACTACCCCAAGTCCTATAGATGATGCATCACAATAAAGCTCAGCTTTTCCATTATCTGGTACCAGCCACTTTCCACCAACCGGATCCTCTTTTTCCACACGGTAAAGCAACTCTTTCAGTTTTTCTTTACAATCTTCAGAAATAAAATCACATTAAGGTATATTTCCAGCTAAACGTTTGATGTATGAAGCTTGTAAACGCAAACTTCCTGCCACTTGGTAATGTCCAATAAGTTTGCCTAACTGGCTGAAAAGCTGTGATCGTGTGACTGCATTTAAAGATTCGAATTGTACCACATTGTCTCGTTTCCATATCAGTTCCCCATTTTTATTTCTTTTGACTCTCAATCCTAAGACACGTCCTTGTTCAAGATCTTGTGGAGGTTTACATTGTAATCCGAATTTAAGCAGATGCTTCGCTACATTTTTCGCAGTTTCCACACTTTCACCCACAAATATATCATCAATGTAGTTATCACATGCATTCTTTACGGTTGGATTTAAATTGAGCACATGCCGAAGAATTGTGGTCATTATTGTTGGAGCAACATTGATGCCAAAACACATCCTGGTAAATAAATACCGTTGCCCATTTATAATCACCGTTTGATATGGCCAAAGTTTTTTATCAATATGAATTTGGAGCTTTTTTAAGATCGAGAATTTTTGCATTTTTTATTTTTCTCCAGCAACGCAGTTTTTCTTGACAAACGTCCGCATTTGCCGTATGATAATTTACAAATTCGTTGAGAGCTCGGAAATCTCCCACTGGACATACCTTTTTGTCCTTTTTTTCTTGCACTACGCACATAAGCGGTATCAATACTTTTGGTGGTCCCAATATTAGTTCGTTATATGGTACAAGAATACCAGAGTCAATCCATTCACGTATTTCTTTACGGTAACTACGTTCGTGCTCTTGGTTCATCTTGTATTCACAAATGGTATTATCAATTACAGGCTCTTTATTCCAGTTCCATGATGCCGTCCATTTTTTTTCCGTCGAACTTTGCTGTGAAGTCCTGATGTTTTATTTCGTTTCTTTCGTTCTCTTCATTTCTTGTTGTATTTTTGACATCACATTTTATTTTTTGTACTTCGTTTTCGCTTTTTCTTGTTGTATTAATAACATCAATTTTTAATTCGTTTATTTCGTTTTCGTTTTTTCTCGTCGTAGTAACGGCACCACATTTCGCTTTATGACATGCTAACATTGGGACGTTACAGTTTTTATTACCATAAATGATAACTCCTCCAAATTTTTTAATTGCATTCATTCCAAAAATCAAATCAAACCCAAATGGTTTTTCTTTTACAACCAGAGAATTAACCATCGGGTGTATTCCATCAATTTCCAGATTGATTACCATTTCACCCAGCACTTGCACAGTTCCTCACAAAGTTGTGATAAGTTTTTGACTTTTTAACACAAGCCCATGCGCGGACTCAGCATGAACCACAGTAATGGAGCATCCAGAATCAATTAATGCTGTTCGGAGCCTTCCATTTATTTTCACTTTTAATGATGGCAACGTCATTTCTGGGAGAATACTGGATGCCATTATTTCCAGATTCTCTCTTTTCCTTTTAAACCTTGCAATCGTTTAAAGCAGTTTTTAGCTTGATGATTGTGTGAATAAGTCTTGCATTTTTCTTCGCAGTTCCTTGCAAAATGTCCAAGTTTTCCACAATTGAAACATTTAACTTTGTTTATGTCGGACGCACCAGACGTCCGTGAAAGTAACGATGTTGCGCCAATCATTACATTCTCGGAACCATCTAATTGTCGAGCTTCCTGGGTTACTCGTTCAAGGGTAACAGCTATTTCCACAGCCTTTTCAAAAGTTAGTGTTTCAGATTCCAGTAGTAACCGTTTGATTGTAACACCATCGTTAAAACCCGTGATGAATTGGTCGCGCATTCGATCATCTCTATCCGTGAATTTGCATCCTTCAGCAGCTCTTGTAATCCGTCGTGAAAATTCCGTCACATTTTCGTTACTTGCTTTTTTTATAGTTGCAAATTCAAAGCGTAGTATTAACGATGACTTCGGTTTAAAAAGCTTCATGATGTTTTCCTCGATGTCTTCGTAGGTAACTGAGTCATCTTCAGGGTATGCAGGCAAGCATAGATCTTCTAGTGCGGAATAAATCTGTGGTGGCAAACATGTTAATATTATTGTTTTTCTTTTGGATTCGGGTACGTCCATTGCAGTTATGTATGTTTGTAGTTGGCGGACGAACCGCTGATGATTGCCATCGAATACCGGTGGCATAATGGCCGAAATAGTTTGTTTTATTGTCGCGTCCATTTAATTTAATAACGTTTTTAATCTATAGCTTTATATATTCTTTCTAACATCTATACAAAAATCTTTTCTCTATATATATTAAATTAAAAAGTCCCATGAGAATATATTGTTAATTACAGTTGAAATAACTTACGTAGACGCGTGACTTTCAACACGCATCTACGTGATTTCTAATACGTACAATTCACCAACATAATAATAGAACAATTCAAGGTAACTAAATAAATATACACTATCTAAAAATAAATAAACACTAAAAAAAATCTAGTTATACTGGTAACTGAAACTTTTTGTATTATTTTTTATCTTATATCTAACTAAACTATGTTTTATACTTCCTTATATGTAAAGGGTAAACTAAATGCTTTTAGGTAACCCTACCCTTACCTACAGGTAAGGGTAGGGTACCTAAAAGCATTTAGTTTTCCTTATAATTTTAACCTAAACCTTTTTTTATCTATTTTTTTAAGAAGAAAATTAAATTTGTGAGTGAACTAGTGTTTTTTTTCTGACTTAAGTCGCAGTAGGTTTTAAAAATTAACTGATGAATTAAATCTGAATGAAGATAGAAAACTTTACAATAATACTAAATATAATAGAAAAAGCAAGTTAGGCTGCATGCAAAGCTCAATATCATAAGAAAATTGTTTTTTTGTTCAATAAGTTTAACTGCTGCATAATATAGTTTGCTAAAAAATATTGTAATCTCTTTAAAAAGACTAAAAGGTCTCTTATAGTATATACGTTCTGAATAGAGAGAATAGAGTTACTGCATGAACCAAAAAAAAATCATATTCAAAATATAAGAAAAAAAGAAAGGTTATATATTTTATTTAGTTATATATCTATTTTACATTTATACACAAAAGGTCCCTAGTTGAGAGATCTAACAGAATGCTTTTTTATAAACTTATCTTAATAGAAACATTATATTTGTCAATACACTTTTTTTATGAAACAAGATTGCTAAATTAATGATATGAATCTTTTTTTGATACATATATAAAATTTTTAATTTTATTATCATGTGACTCATTATCATGTGACTCTTTTACTTTGATCTTATATTCTATTGAAGTATAAGTGTTTTTCGTAGCAATGAACAATAATTCAACAACACTACAAATATATAACTGTAAAATTCTATTAAGAAAATTAAAGTATAATTTATAATGAAATTTGACAATAGATTATTTATACAATAATAATGGACAATTATTTATACAAGTATTTATACAATAATGAACATAAATTATATTGTTATAATTTATGGTTGAACTATAACAGATATAAGACTTATATTGTCTAAATGCGTAAGAGTTCAATAATTTATAAAAAAATTTAATAAGGAAAATGAATTCCTTATTATTCAAATTATTAATAACGTGTGCAATTGAATTATATAGTAATTCTATTATTTGACAATTCTGAATCTCACTGTAATTTACATAAGCTATTTAAATTACAATGTAACTTATACATGTTATAAATTACAGTGTAGTTTATATAATTTATGTAAATTACAGTGACACTAAGGGACAGAGATAAGAATTTACTGGACAACCCTAAATCTCACTGTAATTTACAGTGAGATCATTTTTAACGTCCAGTAATAGAACATATTTTAGCATAGTTTAAGTTATAAAAATAAATTATGCTTATTTATTTTTATTGAATGGAATATAATAAACTCTATATATAGGTATGCGGAAATAGCCGTTTTACGGTATCGAATTTTGTGCTAAAATTATGTGCCACGTTTTTTGAATTTTTTTTGAGGTAGCGTCAGACAAACGTTTTGTTGTGGTGTTTCTTTTTAGAAAAGTATATCAACATAGATTATTTTTGAATAGAAGAGACTTTGATCTATATTTTTATGAATCAATTATGTATGGATGATTTACTTTTTGTTGACTTTATAGATATTGGAAATATACTTGATGTTGTCACGTGAAATTTGTATTAATGGAATGCTGAGACATTTTGCAAAACTACTGAGACATTTTTTAACATCCTTTATTTATTCGCCTGCCAAATTTCAAGAAAAAATATTATGTAGCAGATAATTTAAAAAGTGTAGCAGTTTTGGTACCTAAATTTTGTTTTCACATATTCGCGATGGGTGTTGTTGTGGTTGGGGGAGAAACATACTATGTATATAACAATAACAGTAATAATAATACTGTCATTATTATTGTTGTCGTTATTTTAATAATTTTATTATATAATTTATGCATATATATAAATACACTATATTATGGTTTATTCTTTAATATTCTTTTAGATATAATAATATTCTTTTATATTCTTAATATATTTATTCATATTCTTCATATTCTTTTAAATAAAATTTTATATTCTCAATGATATTCTTTTATATTCTTAATATTCTTTTAGATAAAAAGCAGATATTTGTTTAACAATCATTGTTAATCTCATCAATCAATCTCAGATTGATTTTTGTAAACAAAAAATTCATTTTTGTAAACAAAATAATCTCAGAAAGATTTTGAAAATCCCTGGATATTACTATTTTTAGTAAGGTATTTGTGTTTTTACTCGTTACATTTGTATTTAAAAATTTTGCATAATTTTTGTAGTTTTATTTTTCTGTAGATCATCTAGCTTTTATTTATTCGAATTTTCATTTACGTAATTATGATGATTGTCGTTAATTGAATATTGAAAATATTTCCATCACAGAGTTGCAGTTAACCATCTGACCATAAGCAAAGTTAGTGCAACTTGGGGTAAAACTCTGAATTAATTGAATTTTTATTTGCACCCTCTTGATACAATTGCTACTGAATGTTGCTCAGCATTGAAGTGTCTAGAGACAGAAAAGTTGAATTATTTGGCAATGATTATGTAGCTGTCAAAATTGATTAGGCTATGAATAAGATGAGGTTTAAAGACGGTAAAAGTGATCAAGAGGGATTTGTTACTTTTTAAGACCACAAAAAACTACCTAGGTGTATCATCCCTAGATATCAAAGAAACTGTCTTCATATTTTCTTTTTAATACTTGTCATATATTTATTAAACACTTGCTAATTTTCTAAATTTTCTAATCACTAGAACAGTCAAATGTGGCAGTTTGCAAGCAGCTCTGCGAGAAGCATTTTGTAATGCTACCACTTTTAAAAAAATGTGTGTGCTTGGTGTATTTGGGAAACTGCTAAATGTTCCGTGGATGACAAAGTTTTATGTATCAGCTGAGGATGCAAATTTTGATCATCTCACCGGTATTCAGATT